ACACAGAAAAAAACAAGTGCCCATAGAAAATACAAAGTACCCATAGAAAATACAAAGTACCCATAGAAAATACAAAGTACCCATAGAAAATACAAAGTACCCATAGAAAATACAAAGTACCCATAGAAAATACAAAGTACCCATAGAAAATACAAAGTACCCATAGAAAATACAAAGTACCCATAGAAAATACAAAGTACCCATAGAAAATACAAAGTACCCATAGAAAATACAAAGTACCCATAGAAAATACAAAGTACCCATAAAAAATACAAAGTGGAATAAAAAATGCTAAGTGTACCTATGGGCCTTCGTAGATTTCCCATAGCTTACTGATATCTGTGAGGCAAAATGTGATGTCACTAACAGTTGAGAAATGACAGAAAATTGACCTTTTGTGTCGTCCTTATGTTACATAATGTAGTTTTATAAAATATTTTGTTCTCTTCATCTCCCGTCATTGCTATATATACCTAGTTTTCCCGGCACTATTTATTTTTGGCATTTCTTGAAAAATATATGAACTCTGACGAAAGTGTGTAGCAAGTCCAAACAACCTTGCAACAGACTTCACTCCCAGTAAAAAACCCAGTAAAAACCCTCACCACTTGTTCCGGATCATCTCTAGCATTATAGGTTAAGTATTCAAACATGCAACACCGTTCCACGAAACCCTGCAAGTATTGTAGTATTGACACACAAGAGAACTATAAAATGTAGTTTTTCTATGAGAAATGCAGAATCCTGTGTGTTCACAGGGATATCGGTAACGTTTTATAGTTTGACCTTGATTAAGCCGTGACAGGTAGACGGTTAAGTCTTCAGGTGGCCAAGTCGTGACCTTGAAGACTCCATGGGAAGGAAACATACATTCCAACAACCTGCTAAGTTAAGCCAAGATGTTAATCCGTTTACTTCTCTCGCAAAATTAAATCTTTCCAGGGTGGATATCTCAAGGCTAATGACTGAGGCCAGAGTACAGTCATAGCCTCCACCAGGCCTTTCTACGGGAATACGATCGTAGAATTCGGCAAAAAAAGAGATTGGCCGAGGGAGTTCGGCCGCGGGGAGGTACTAGTAGTTTCTTTCCCTCCGATGCGCGGCCAGTCAAACCTACAAGGCGGACGACTCCCCTGGCAAATATTCTCCTATATATAGTAGTCTGGTAAAGACTAGTACAGTCATACCTAGATGAAAGGCGATTTCAGTGCAGTAAAGCTGGATTTTCAAAGTCTATTTACTGGTCGTCATTCTAACGTAGTAAGTCGGTTCAACCCTATCTTATAGCGTACTGATATCTGTGAGACAAATGCGATATCGCTGACAGAAAACGATTTCTTGTTTCGTATAGTAGGCTGGTTGTTTTGCAACCCTGAAACTGCATTGGATTCCTTTACAACCCCAGTAACACATTCAGGACCTTCCTACGACTTTGCTCCCGACTACTTCCCAACCAAAGTCGGCACTAGGTTGGGAGTAGTCTGGAACCCATCCTATTCTAGCTCCAGGTCGCTTCTCTCAATTTTCAAAATTCATAGTCGGTTAGAGCAGACGACTTTTAAAGACTGGTAGGCAACCAACTCCCAACCACAGACGACTCCTTTGTTCACGACTGACTCCCAACCGTGGTCTAGAGAAGGTCGGGAGGTCATGGTCGGCTAGGTGTGAGGGGGGATTCAAGCAGAGTTTCCGTCCATTCGAATTTGATGCTCTTTGCAGAAAACATGAAAACGCAGGAAGACTGCAAGTGTTGTGTTGCCCATACATGTCACAGTCAATAAACACGTAACAAAGCAAACAAACCAATATAGATATGAGATTAAAGGCCATGCATATACACTTGTGAATGTTATGTAATTCTCTGAGAATTTAGCCAGTTGCTTTAGTCATTTAGTATGTTTTACTAGCCTCTATCAGGCTTCATAGGAGCGCCTGGAAAGAGTAGGAATTGGGCAAATAGACAACATACCATTGGAGTACATTTTTTTTCAGAGCGGTAAACTACTTTAGCGAACCAACTCCCCTGGCCTATCATCCGTTTCTCTATATATATATATTTGGTCAATTTCTACTCTTTCGGCCAGTCGCCTCTGAAGCCTGGTAGAGGCTAATGTCCTACCTGGATGTCTAAACTACATCGACACACTTGTGAATTATATAACGTACACGACATACAGGGGGGGGGGCATTTTTAAAATTAAAATTTGCCTGGTATGTCCTCGGATAACCCTTTTGTGTCCTCAAACGACTCAGCCATTTAAAACTGATTGGTTTATACCTCGCCACCTCTTGTATACGTTTGAGATGTTGTGAAAACAGGCTTGATTGAGACATCGCCAAGATAGAGCCGACAGAGAAAACTTGGGCCCCAATGTACCAGTCTGTTGCTCTACTTATTTAGTGATGGCATTGAGGTAGCTCGTCTACCTCCATGGTGATGGTGAAGTTGCAAATGAACGCGATTCAGGTAGCGGAGGTGCCAAAATATGACGCCTTACGAGTGTGTTTTTAAAAGCTGGAAACACAGCCGTCAGCCATGTTTGTTTTCATTCTGGTAGTTTGTGGTGGCACCACAAACTTTGAGTGCGCCCCGTGTGTGCTGTTTTATTACCAACTATGCCATATCAGAAATGTGAAATGATAGCACAAACGTGTTGAAAAATACATGACAATCACGTGAATATTTTTTTCAATTGAAATATTTCAATTTTTGCTCTTTCCAGCCGCCTCCCGAAGCCTGGTAGAGGCTAGTGTGACCTCGATATTCTTCCACAAACTTTTCCAGGTAAAGGCGCACCACCCCACTTTCCCACGCTGACCGCCGGGCCGAGGGGCGGAAAGGCGCCGGTACGGTCCTCAAGAGGCCCCGCCAACCCTTTGAACCCTCCCCCTGGCCAGCAATACAATCCACCCACAATTCAACAATTAGTAAAATCGGATTTCTTGAGTGCTACTTGTGAGTGACGTGGGAAACATGCACAGTGTAAACTATCGCTTGGAGTTCCTTTGGGAAGGTTTTGAGTGAGACTCGGAGTTTAGGGCATGACCCAAGCTAGACTACCTACATATAGGCGTCCTTAAGCGTCACACACACTTAATTTCACTGAATAAATCTGTTTTTCTTCGCCTACTTGAGTGACAACTGCATATATCAACACAGTCAGTGGTGTGGATCATGGAGAGCTAGCTATAGCGTTAGCCACTTTGTGGTCCACATTCAAAGTCAGCATAGTTTAACATACAAATTGTAGGTTTGATAATAAGCACATCTTAAAGCATGCGTAAAGATACATGCTAGTAATGAATTCAAAACAGTATGGGATCCATATACAAAGAAAAACAAACTTGAAAGCGTACAGAAACGGAACATTTACGTGTGCTTAAAGAATGGATTTTGTGCACAGAAATCACAAAATCTAACTTTATGACGCAAAAAAAAATGTGCGAGTGGATGGATTCTATAACACTAGAACTTGTTTCTGACTGAATACAACGTTTTCAATGGTCCAATCTCAAAGGAACCGGCTATTTGAAGCCTCCATGTGTTTTCTGAAGGCATTTGCACTTCCAACAAGCAACCATTTTCAGGGTAAGTCCTGTCTAAACACTCTTAGTACATGAGGTCAAACTGTATATAGACTGTACAATATTCAAGTGGAACACACTCGCTTTTCTTTCCTTCCAGAATCGATGGGAGAAGAAACGGGCGGCTTTAGAGGAAAGCGCAACAACAAAGCACAGGGCCGTTAAGAGAAAGAGACCGTAAGGGAATTAGCGTACTCTTGGCGCACTCGGAAAGCCTGTATTGCAGACACGTCACAATGGAAGAAAGCTAGAAGTGCCGGTGTAGAAAACGGTGATATGTTTACAAAGCAGTGACGGCTGGGCCTCGCTCTTTTTACCGAACCCAATGATTCAATTTCAGGGCAGCAGAACAAAAAAAAAAAATATTCTGGATGAGGAAATATGTCTGATATTATTGACATTTACTGACATTTCTTCGCACATTTTTGTCATCATTTCATACTTGAAGGCTTTTGAAATAACCAAGAAACAAGCTATGTGAGGAGTCCCTTTATTTTTTGGTACCACCAATAAATAGCAAGAACCAGGAAACAAGCAACTGTTTTACGTCAGCGACATCATATTTTTGCCTCACAGAAATGGCCAGAAAAATGATTTTGGAAACCCAAGATTACTGCTCAGAAATCGGGTCGAATGTCTTTAGTTTTAAAAAAGTGTACAGGCCCCAAGAACATTGAAATATCTGAACTGGTTTTGAATTAATGCTTTTGTGATGCGAACTGTGACGAAGGTCTACGCATGACGGTAACAGGTGGTTTAATTAAATATGAATTTATCGAGTCAAATCAATGTCATCCAGCAAATTATTTGTATTAAAAATCACACAGAATAGTGCTATTTTAGATGACATTTAGTGTGTTGGTACGCCACATCACAGGAATGCAATCATCCGTATGTACAATGTATTTTATATAGCATCTATATCAGCTGCAGTTGGATTTCTCGGGGCACGAGGTGGGGTTAAAGCGACATCTAGCGGAAACATGCCAAAATGTCGGAGATACAGATCGTGAGGTTCTAGGCGTTTTATAGAAGTGTGAAGACTGAAATTACAGAGAAAACCAGTCGAGTGACGCCTCTATTGGACATTTTGCTGATAAAAGCTTTTCTTTTCATGTTTCTGACGAGACAATTCTTGTTAAAGAAGATCAAATAATGTGACACCTGACAAGTATCTCCCGCCAAAATAAAGCTTAGGATAAACCATATTTTATGTAGGTGATCTATTGCATGTATGAACTAATATAAGCAGTAAAAATATAAAAAATATAGTTACATCACACATATATCTGGCCTTGGCAAACTTTTTCATACATTTAATATGAATATTAATCACAAACTTTGTAACTACTTGTAGTTACAACTTTTTTTAATACAACTTGGCCCCTTATAGTGAATGGTAGCTTCTAGAAAGACCCGGATTTTGACCCAACATGGCGGCAATTCCAAACATCGTATCGTCTGATTCCACAGTTTTTCCGTTACGGTGAGGCGTAGAGGTGAGTTCGAGACATCCTAATCTTGATATGAAAGACAAAACACACTTATACAGCTACTGTAATAAATTTTGGCTCCTCACGTAAAGAAATGAGACTGTTATCACGGATATGCCCATGTAACCTACAGGGCTGCTATCCACTTCCTGACAAAAATCTGGAACAGCCGAAACATGGCGATCTATCATTTTGTAATAGTGGGGGGAATTTGTCTATGTAACATTGTTATACATACATAACTAATGTTACATTTTTTGGTGAAAAGGAATGTTAGAGTCCATGTGCTCTAGGAGAAATTGTAAGATTGTTAATATTTATTTATATATTTAGTTATAAGTTAACTGTTTGAAGGATCAATCACATGACTTGTGTAACACAGCAAAATTATTCTGTAGTCAGACAAGTAGTTAACGTTATACCATACGCCAAAAAGCGGTAGCTGGACGTTTCACCGCCAGACGGGTTCGCGGTTAGACGATTCGCGGTCACTTCCTGGACGATTCGCGGCCACCGTATACACGCCATAAAGGCTGCTACAATCACTGTCTGTTGCATAAGATAACTTTTAAGGACTGTATATTTACGCAAAGAGGTTATAGTCTCCACGATAAACTTTAACCTCCTTGATTTCCACATCTTATAGCATTTTGAAACTGTTTTGTAACATACGTAACATACGTCTTGTTTGTGACCTTAGCGTTAAGCCGGACCGGCTGGAATATTACCTAAAAAGGGCTGAGAAAGTGTACAAAATATTTTCATCACATTATCAAATTACTATTAAAATTGCCAGTCTTGATTTTTGCTGTCTAGAAACGCGTAAAACATGTTGACAGCGAATAATAAACGACCCGAAGTGACCGCGAATCGTCTAGCCGCGTAACTGCCTGGCCGCGAAACGTCCAGAAACCGCCAAAAAGCAGTTACTCATGCAACTGTTGGAAACGGTCAGATGTTTCAGCTAGTATCCACGCTTTTGCCAGTAACTGAGAGACCAGAGGAGAAATGCAGGTTTATAAGCACAAACTTTATACGTTATAACGTTATATTTCACCCATAAATAAAGATAAAGTACTGAGTAAGTATGATCCAGGAGGTTTTGCTAGATTTTTAACCCCATTGGTGTTATGAGGGCCTGCATTTGAGTTCACTTTCGTAATGTGTAGTCAGGCATTTTTTGGCTCAAAATCATCGTAACTCACAATCAGTACATTAGCCGAAATGCTTAATTGTTCGTAGTCAGTTCTGGCAATTTGTAATTCATAATGGGCGGCGAAAATTTTGCGTAATCTGTACTCACTACCCCCCCCCCTCCCATGCGGGCCCTCTATAATTTGCGTGTTGGTGTTGAGACCAACTTAATGCATATTTGAACAAAAATAGTCACAAAAGTTTACTCTGTTTACTCTTAGTCCTACTCAAATGCACCATGCCTCATACAGGTCATTGACCTGGTGGACGATTCGACTAACCTCACCATGTACATTAATGCCCCAAGGAGACAAACTAAGGCCCCGTTCATGATTCAAAATCTGTTGCGAATCAATTCGCATTGAAAAAAATATTTCGAATTATCTGGGAACATGAACGCACATTCCGGTTCCGCTGTGATTTATTTTGAACCACCTCGCAAGATGGTCTGAAGCGATATATAATGTTTCGCGTTCGTCGAATTGCAATCATGAATATATTCCGTATCGATTTGAATCGTGGCCGTACCGAAGCACATTTTGAATCATGAACGGGGCCTAAGCCACCCCTCCCCTACTACTTTGCCCTTGGTGGGGTTATATGGGGTAACCGGTAAAATCACTGTATGAAGGTGAAACACACACATACACGTGCCACCTAGTAAAGTCAGATGAGGTCAACCTAGCCTCGGGGTGGACAATTATGTGTCAGATGTCAGGTCTGGTTCTTGTGTATTAAAGGACCGCAAAGTCAACGGATGACCTGAAAACACCTCGCCTGAAGGAGGGATTGTCTGTTTTGTTGTGTATTGACCTTATTGAATTAATACTGTAATTCCTGATTTTTTCACGGTACTGTTATGTTCACTGTTTTCACTGTTACTTCTGTACTGTGAACTTATTGTTTAACAGTTAACAAATAATTCCTGGACTTTCTTTTTTCTGCACCTGTCGCCACCGTGAATACATAGTCCCATGAACATGTCAATTTTTCTCAGACCGTGAACTTTCGCTACCGTGAACATAAAGTGAATTACAGTACATTTATATTGACAAGAGATTATTCTATTCAATCTGTAGGTATTAATTTTATTTGGTGAATAAAATGGAAGAATGTGCACTTATTTCAACCAAGTTTATCCCTTATCCGATAATTACGATGATTTACGTTTACAATTATCGTTCCACAACAATTGCACGATCAGGCAGTATAGCGTTTTATAGGTTAGCAAGACCAGAAATTTTATTTCAATTAAGTACTAGATTGGAAAGTCTGTTTTTAAATTATTTGTACCCTACTTAAGCCTATGTACCTTAGTGGAGGTAAAATTGGAGCTGTGCAGGTATTTCTGATGTCTACCTAGGCTTTTGCCTAACAAGCTCCATTCTGCATTGACTGTTACCACCTGATGTCTACCTAGGCTTTTGCCTAACAAGCTCCATTCTGCATTGACTGTTACCACCTGAAATACATGTAATTGCAATGGTTTCTGAACGGTTTTTAGTAGGATCCATGCTTTTGATCCATATTTATTCTGAATGGTGCAGTTAAAGTTACCTAGACCAGTGCAGGTGTTTTGAGCCCTGTATGACCCTATTTGACTCGATATAAATAATGAGATTATTCTACTCAATTAGAACCATTCTGATTAAGTGTCTGTAGATTTTTTTTATGTTTTTGTCGTAGAAAAAAAATCAAAGAACATGCAGTTATTTCAACCAAGTTATCAGATAATTACAATGATTTGATCCACACCTGTTTCCAATTATCATTCCATAACAATTACAGTAGCATTTGGTATGTTATCATGACCAGAAATTTTGTTGGTTTTCATTTTGTTTTAGTAAGTATATTAAAAAGATATATTCAACATATTCTTGAATTTGTTCATATTGTTAATTGTATTCCTCATTTTTGGAGACTGAAAAAAGCAACTTTTTTGTACATTTCTTGATTCTGACATTGGTCAGTGCATTGGTGTAAATTTCTTTTTTTTTTCACACAGAGGTATGAGAAGATTCAAATTTTCAAGATGAGTCAGAACGGACTGTTCCATGACGTTGAGGGGTGGGGACCTGACACATGTGCGGAGAAACTTCACACTGTACTACCCAAACTCATCATATCCTTTTCTATAATGATACATGTACATTGTATATACATGTCAATGTATAATTCATTAATATTACGTCTAGAATCAATGTTTGTGCTTTTACCGGTACTTTTAGAACTGCAAGGTTTCCACTCCAAAATAACTGGCACACAAACTGTAAGTACATGTATTGTGATAGAAGCAATTGATTTTTGTTGTACATGTAGTGTTATAGAAGACTACCTGTAAAAATGAATGTACAGGTATGTAGTTTATGAGATTATAGATAGTTTTCTTTGTTGCTGCCTTTAATTTTTGTTTTGCTATGTGAAGATAAGTTCCTTAATGTACCATCAAGCTGGCCTCAATGGGGATAAGGATACAAGAAAGCAAGCAGGTACAAAAATTACATATTGATGAAACCAAGGAGGTTTCAAGATGTCTTAAAACGAAAAGTTGGAATTGAATTGCTCTATCTTAATTGAAAACTTTAAACAAGTAAAATAAGAACCTTGCAAATGCCAGTTAATGCTTTCTAAAAGTGCCACTCAATCATGGTATATATACTGGTAGTCACATTCAAGATATTTTGCTATGATAGTAGCCAGCCAATTTGATGAATAATCTGTCTCAGGCTGCTTCTGAATGTTAGCTGTCACTACCGTTAAGTGATTGACAATTCAATAATCTATTTCCATTTTCCCAGCTCACTTCAGTGCAATCTGTAAGAAATTTCTGGCACATGTGGACATCAATGATGTTGAGGTAGTCATTTATGCTGATGCTATGCCAAAGGTAAATTACATTATGTATACTGTAATTTGTGTAAATGCAGAAACTTAAGCATTGGTTTTATTTTTGTGGTATTAGGCCACACCAATTTAATTTCTTGGTTAATGGATTCGCCTAATTCATTTTTTTCTGATTTGCAAAAAAAAAAAATTCAGAATCAACTGCAATATGCTCAAATTTTGCCCTGAACAGTCGAAAACAGTCCTTTTCTTTCTAGTTGTTACAGTTATTCCATCTTTCAATGCAATGGTATCATTAAAAGTTCAAAATTCATTGTTTAAATTTTGAACCAGCCTGGTGTGTTGACTTCATGGCTCCTATCGTACCATTTTGGGCCATAGTAGGATGCCTAGGCCTGTTTTTATTTTTTATTTTTTTTCGCCCGCCCGCTCCATTATTTTTCTAGAAAAATCTGTTAACCAAGAAATTAAATTGGTGTGGCCTTTCTGAAGACTAATTTTTCCATATGCTTTTGACTTTGTTATACTTGATTAGCATAAAATAACAAGTACATTCTCTTTCCAATATTGTTAGGTTTGTGCTGTGTTTGATAGAAGCTTGGCCGACATCTCAGAGCTGCTAGCCCAGCAAAGTCCAACACCGTCCTCACAGTCTAGCCAGGGGAATACAACAAAGGAAGGAGTTACAGACAATATTCAGGTACCCAAGAAACTTTCTGTACTAGTAAGGAAAGGCACTTTACATTGCTTTCCTCATTCCACCCAGGTGTAAAATGGGTACTTGACTTCGGTTGAGGAGGTAAAAGGCAGTGGAAGGAGAGGGATAGGCTCCACCTTTCAATACTGTGCCCTAGACACAGTGGATTGATTTTAAAATTCAATTCAATTAAAAGTTAGAAGTTCTTTATTGCCAGTTCATGTCCTGGGGCTAATTTCAAGGACAATGAGTACAGAATGACATTTTGAACATTTTATTTAACCCACTGCCCCTACAGCCCGAAAAAATCTACGGGACTAGCTTTACCTTTTTTAGCCTACACTTATGTAATACAGTGAGTAATACAGTGTTCAGTATAGCGAACAAAACATTTTAGTTTGTACAAATGTATATTGAAATTTTAATGTGTTTACTTAGTCATATTTATATTTGTGTTAGAAGAAAACTTTATCTCTGTACCGTGTTGTTAACTACAAACCCAGATGAAACCTTTCATGCTATGAACCAACCATGTACAATGTAAATTTCTCAAACCATATGTTAACATTATTTCAAATGTATGTGCTCACATTTTGATTTCTGTATTTTGGTAATTTTGTTTTTATAATAGGTACTAGATGAGTTGATATGCAGTTTGGAAAAGTGTATTGTCCATGCTGCCAGGACTGACCAACCTAGGGTGCTGGACAGTCATTCTCTGGTGGCCACAGCATTACATGTCATCAAGGGAACATTCAGACATTGCAAGGTAAGAACTGTTTGGAAGTTCTTAGAAAGTGACTAAAAATTCAATCTAAACTAAGTCGTTAATCCTCCTGCAAATCTGTTAAACCTTAGATTCTGATATGAATGATAATCTGACAGAGCTAGCTTATAACTACTATTAGTAAGTATTATATCAGTAGTATTCTTTTGCCATTTCCTAAGTTTTGCTGCCCTTTCAAAAATATATCATAGCTTGAATGAAGTATACTATACTTGATAAAGTCACAAACGTATGACAAAGTTGAGCACTTCAATGTCTAAAATTAGAATTAAAATATTTCTTAATTTTTTGCAGGACAGTCATGAGTCCTATGGTAAAGTGTTTCCTCTGGTGTCTGAGTCTCTCAGTTGTCTGTTTAAGAAAGCCTACAGCCTGCAAAAGGTACTACGTTATTCCGTTTTCTCTCCGTTTTCTTCCGTTTTCCTCTCACTCCTGCCGCAAATTCTTAAGCTGTGTCTGAGCTGTTATCTAGTCAAGGGAGTAGATTGTCATCATCTGTATTTTCATTTCCAAACTCTTGCCCAAATGCTAATTGCAATAGAACATAGAATATGATAATGCAAAAGGGTAAAAAATTGTATAAAGATCTATCATGCATTTCTTATTCATGGAACTTATTGAAGGTCATTAAGGAAGTTGTTTTTCTGCTTTAACATTGTAGTTCAAGAAGCGAATTAAGGACTGTTCTGAAATTTGAGTAGGTATTCACAATTCACAAAACAAAACAAAGGATAAGTTTTTTTTAGCATCCTAGCAGCTTTCTATGGCACTGCAGCAGAATGTCTAGTTTTGGCATCTTTGATTTTACAACTGTACATGTATGTTACTTTGCAGGTGTTGATGGCTTTGATTGACAAGCTGCAGCTGTCATCAGACAGTTCAGAGGAGGATGTTACTGACATGGTGGCGGTGTGTCAGGGCTTTCACATTATCGGCTGTACGGTCTCTGGGGTGGACGCAAGTCTACTGGTCACTACCTGGAAGTTCCTGGCAAAGTGAGTGGGATCCTTAAAGGCATTCGATGCAATGTCAAAGTTCTTCTTTAAAACTATTAATTTTGTTTAACAAGAGCTGATGTTTCGATGACCGCCTGTCATCTTCTTCGGGGTAATTATGTTTACAGAAGGAAAACATATTGTTTTTGCTCAGTTTCTTCCTCTTCTTCTTCTTCTCCAAACAGTGACCTATGACCTGACCAATGATATGATTTGTTGATGTCTGTCACCATGGTGACTGGTGTTGGGTTACATAATGTTGCAATTTCATGGTCTGCTCTACTCCTGTCACCAGATACTCATAGTACATGTATGTAAATGTGTTTGAGTAAAAATGAACAGGGCAGACCATGTCCGAAGGTAAACATTATGCATTTGCTTTGCAAATGTTACTTCTTTAGTTTACAACATTTTTTCCCTCTTTGTTGCTTTTATTTACAAGAAAAGAACAAATTATACAAATATAGAAATTAAACACTTTGGGGTACAACTAAACCAAGTAAAAACCAAATTATTGAGTGCAACTTCTAACAGAAGTAGACAGATATATACAGAAAAAAAGAACTGTTACAGTAATTTTGTTTTACAAATGCAAATTTTTTTGATGACCATCTGTCATCTTCATGACCTTTATTGTACGTTTATACTCTTATGAGCTAAGTACAGCTCATGTATAAAACAGAGGTAAAACTTACAGTAGTATAATCTTATTAAAACTATATATATAATTGTGAACTACTATTAACAGGCTAAACTTCTTCTTGCTTCTTAAGGCAGTTGTAATGAAATAAAAGAGCTCTGCTGTTCAAAAAAACAATATGATTTCATTGTTGTTTCTTTACCAGGCAGCTGACCAAGCACAAAGAAGTACTGAAGAATCATATAGACATGGCACCTCTGGTCAAGACACTGTGCTCTGAAGTAGGGACCAACTGCAAGTACTGTGTGGAACTGGCTTCTAAAGATGCTACAGATAGACAGGTAGGTTCTCTTTTGTAAGCCTTTTTCCATTATTAAATCCATTAAAATGATTGTTTTCGGCCTGTGTGTGTCTGTTTCTTCACATTTGTGGTCAACATAACTTAAGAATGCTTGGATGAATTATATTTGGTATGTGGCATGGGTAGGCCTTGGGATGACAAAGGTCAAGCTCAAAACTGGGCATTCTGGTGGCTGACCTTGGTGCTGCAGCAGAACTTCTGTTTTTGTTTCCTTTTGTCTTTGGCATACTTTTCATGTGAGTAAAAAGTGTTGTGGATTTGGTCCCGTTAGCAGCTTTTCTGGAACTGCAGGGGCAAAGAGAATATTAAAGTCAAGGAATTGAAGGTACATGGGATTAACAGAGGGTATGAAAATTTGACTTGAAGAAATCCTTGAAAATTTGACTTGAAGAAAATGTAGATCCACTTGAAGACTGATTTGACCATTGTAGCACTTGGCATACATGCTTTTATCAATATTGTCACAAAATGATCTATTCTTCCCTTGAACTCAGAACGGATGTGGAGACCAGAAGTCACACACCAGAACCCTGAAAATCTGTCGTTTTTTCATGCAGTGCCTCATGTGCCTTATAAAGGTGAGCTGTAGCTTGTACAGAATGCTTTTCTCAACTGCCAAATTTTTGTTATCGCATTCAAAACCTGAGATAGAGCTTGTTAGTAAATTCCAGAAAATGTTTGTACAAATACAGTTGACTATAATTCTATTTATGATTTTGTAGTTGATTATAACTCTATTTACATGTATGTTTTTCAGGACTACAATGGTTATTTAGGGTCTTGCATAAAGGAAATATTCCATGTCATCTTGGAAATGCAAAGGTATGAGAATACACATGGCATTGCAATGATTCTAAAGACTATTAACACACAAAAGCTCAGAAGTTCTTAATTGCCCAACATAGGTTACATAAGTTTGGTAAAACTAAAGGTTTTTCTAAAACATACTGTAAGTTCTAACCATTTTGAAAAAGTGAAAGTTTATACCGCCTTTTTTTTTACTGAGGTTGAAGTGTGATTGTGAGCTATGAATAAGCCTGAAGACCCCAATCGTATGCCCTTTGGAAAGGCACTTTACAGCTATTTCCACACTCCACTCCCGGCAGTTGAAAATGTCCACTCCCGGCAGTTGAAAATGAGTACCTAGCTTTGGTTAATGACATCCTCTATGATGGGATGTAAAGCCGGAGGTCCTGTGTTTGAGGAGAGCCACACCTGAAACACATTAAAAACATCACACTTCAAATAATCCCTTCTTGACTGGACCAAACATTATAGTCCGGCCTTACACAGCTTGTACTTACTGTACAAAACTGGTGTGTTAAACCTGAAGTCCTTTTTACCGGTTTATATGAGAAACAAACAAACAAACATGCATTGTTTTCCTTGTGTAGTCTCCTGCCCCCCAGTTTGTCAGCCCCTCCACTGTCTTCTACTGCTGCAGAGGAAATGAAGGCCACACTCCTGGTGGGAATCGAACCCATGATCCAACATCTCCTGGATAACAGGGATTTCATCCAGCTGGTCACAGGACAGAGCAACGGTAGACTTTCAACAGTTGGTGCCTAGAAAATGATGTGGTTCAATTATAGCAAGTCTAGGAGTTGATTCTGAGAAGTTAAACAGCGGATTATATTTGAATTGGAACTCATGTACCAGTATTTTCTTTTTTATCATATTCTGTAAATCATACAAGGAAAATCGCAGATTTTTATGGTGATTACTGTGAATTCACGACACCTCAAATACATATACATGTATGCCTTCCTTGTAACACTATTCACCTGCAAATTTAAAACACTTTGAAAACCACCCTTTCCCTCCTACTACGAAATAAAACTACTGCAGATTAGATTTAGAGTACAGGAATATTGAGAACAATCTATGTTGTAATTTTGTTTCAGATCTTCCCAGTCAACACAATTTCCCCCTGTGCCTTCTTCAACTCATGGTTATGGACCTTATTCCAAAATGCTCAGGTAAAGTGCCATTCTAGACAATATTCTATAAACAGTGAACCAGTAACACATAGCTTCAGTGCACAGTGAACCAGTCATAATTTGACAAACGCTCATTGAAACCATCAACTTGTGTTAAACAAGACAAAGTGGTTGTGAATAAAAGAACTTTGCTATTCAATCACTCACCAACCTGATGAAATTATTTATGGATGGGAAACATTCTAAACTGTCTATAAGTCCTATATACAGTGAGATTTATTTTGTCTATTGTTTGAAATGTGACATTGCTTTACAAAGTTTTGTTTGATTGTTGCCTCCAGATGAACAGAAAGACCAGTGGGTTGCTCCAAAGATCTATCCAGAGGATGAGCCAAGAGATTCCATACTTGTGTCCTTGTTCAGCACTCTCAAGAAATGTAGGTCTCAATCTAAATTAAATTAAATGGACAATGTAACTTATGATGTTTGATTCAGATAAATTGTGTATGTGAAAGTAGAATGGAAGTCCAAGGCAGAAGAATGCAACTCAAATTTGAGCTGTTCTAAATTTGTAATACAGCAAGTTTTCAAATAAAAGAAATTCAAAGAAAATAGATTTTAAAAAATATTTCTTCTGTCAATTGAATTGTATGAAGCAGAAGACATTTTCCTGGTTAAGTTATGATATAATTGTGTTATAATCTATACCAGGTTATACAGAACTGACCCTACCAGTTTACCTTCCTGGAGTTATGTGCAATGGAATGCCACAAAGGTAAGAGTAGTAAAGTACAATTACTTTGTTCTTTTGTCTCCTTTTGTTTCTTACCTGGTATGTGACCAAGTGCCTATACATAAAAATACACCTTAAAACACTATTTGGAAGTCTGAAATCTGGTATGTCTTGTTTTGTTATTATGTTTACCGAAGGAAAACATATTGTTTTTGCTCTGTTTCCTCTTCTTCTTCATACCAATAAGGTCAATGACCTGACCCAGACGTCTGTCACCATGGTAATGAGTGTTGTGTTACATCATGTTGCAATTTTATAGCAGGAAGGATTTAGACTCCTGTCTGACCATATACTGTCTATGAATGTGTTTGAGTAAGAATTAGCAGAATAGACCATACGCAAAGGTAAACATTACACATTTGCTTTGCAAATGTTACCTTTCTAATTCTAGTCCTGTTTGAATTTCCTAGAGATGTGAGCCTGTATGAACATGTCTGCACACACCTGTGTGGGTTTGCTGCCTCCCTACCTGCACGGCACTTCTCCCTGCTTGAGAAATGTCTACTGGACAACGTTCTGGGCACAAACCTGCACTGTGCACTGGTCGCTACTGATGTCTGGTGCTTCGTGGCAAGGTTTGGACATATTTCATTACGCTTGTCAATTTTATCTGTTTGCAAGGTAGAAGTCCAAACGTGTACATGTATAGCCTTTGGACAAAGGGGTTGGGAGTTTGAATCCCGACCGTCTGTAATTCACTTACCCAGAATGCACGCGACTGGAAAGGGTCGCAGACAGAACATTAAGCCATGGTTCACTGTTCACTGTACTTCTTGAAAAGATACAGGGAAATTTTCATTGTACAATGAACCTGTAAATACTGTACATAGTGCCTGTCTTCTCTGTCACGACTAGTGGAAGAATAGCTCTTCAGTGAGCTTAACTGGTTCAAGATCACATGAAAAACTCCTTACAATGTTGTCTACCTTTACCTTCTCCCTGCTGCTTAACCTCTTAATCTGCACACAGATTTGGGGCAAATTTGGAATGTTTCTTTTTTTGCTTTATTCTGTCCAGATATGGAACAGCTGAACTGTGTGAACAGCATGTGCACGTGCTGACCAAGCTGCTGTGCCAGCTGCCCAACAGCTGTCAGCACCTGCAGCTGCACCTGCTGCTGAGGAGACTGGTACCTCTCATGGCAGAACCTCATCAGGTGCACAGTGACCCTTGTTCTTCCAAGTTCAGTTAAACCTGTACAGTTTGAAGCATTTTAGTTTGAACCATAGTTTATTCATGATTTACTTAGGCCAACATCATTTTGTTCAAAAGAACTGTGAAACAAAATGCTTTTCACTTCTGGGACAGAAGTATTGTTTTGGGTGGCACTGGTTTAGGGGAAGTTTGTACGTTTGGGTTCTGGACATTCCATCAAGCCATCATAACAGGAGGTCTAAAGGCCAGGTGGGACTATATATAGGAGTTCATATATCCGATGACATTACATCATACAATCCCCTCCACAGTTCAAATACATTCACGAAAACCCAGAACACTTCCAGAAGTCTGAAATCTCTGATTTCTCCTTTTCAGGAGAAGTTTGTGCAGACATACCCACCAGCAAAGTACCCCTCGCTTTGGGTACATCTACCTCCAGTGGCTTTTGTTCCCAAGTTGAGAGCAGTTATCTGTGGAGAGAGTGTGAGCTATGCCACCCCTGTGTGCCAGAAATGGCTCGGTATCCAAAGGAAGACTCTGGGGACACTGCCTGATCTGGTAAGTATGTGATGGATTTTTAACCTCCATGAAAAATGGAGGTATTGTTTTTGGCGCGTTTTTTTTTTTCTTAGCCATGTTGATCTTTTTTTTTTTTAAAAATCATTCTTTTTATTGTTTCCAAAATTCACACAAAAGAAAGCATGACACAACGAAACAAAATGAAACCACATGCATAACTACAAAACTAAATAAAAACCAGTAAACAATATAGATGATATAACAGAGTGTTACAAAATATAAAAAAAGTACAACCCAATTACAATTTATTTATAATTTCTTCAAGGAGATGAAAGTAGACCTATTAGCTTTCCCCATTTTCCCCTGTGTTTTTTTGTCTTGCTAAGTCTCCAAAAACCAGGACAGGGTGTATCAGACGTAGTCAAGGAAAGGCCAATTAAGAAATGATCTGACCTATAGACTGTAATACATTTTTTGTTCCTACTGTACAGCACCTGGCCCTGTGTGTTCTGTGCAACGTGTACTCATCGTCTGTGCGGCAGACTTCGCCCCTTCAGTCCTCAGCGCCAGTGTTACACGCAGTGTCCAGACTGTGGGACGTGATCTCTGCCTCTGGAGCAGCCAAACACAGGACTGTGGAAGTCGTAGCTGTCAAACTGGTCCAACTCACAGGGTATCTTTTGGGGCAACTGGTTCCAGAGGATGTTATCAAGGTACTGATTTTAAGTAGTATAAATCCATTCTATGATCGATGTAATTCAATCAGGTATTTCCCCATGATCATACAATACATTCATAATATTATCTTTTTGGGCAATTGGTATCGGACGATATAATCAAGGTTACTGATTTGAATTTCTTAATGATATCTAATATTCTTGAGTCCATTGATGCAGGAAAATCTATTTTTCAGAGTGCAGAAGGCACATTATCAATACACGTACTACTTAAATGAAACTTAGATGTTGTCATTTAATTAAAAAGAATGGAGCGTAAAACGTGTTGTAGAAAAGAAACATACCAGGTTGATATAATTATTGAACTTAGAACGTGCTGATTTCTATAGTTAAGGAACCCAAAGTGAGAAGGTTCGATGATGTAAAATTTATAGTAGGGTGCACAAGCACAGAATCTCTGCTGTGAATATGCAACCTTCTCAAGTACTGTGCCACACTTCTTTGTGTTTGAACTACTATTGACTACAGGGTTAGCTCATTACTGTGTTATGCAACCTTAAAAATACTTGATGTTAACACTTTTAAGAATTGAGCCTGGCAACTTTTTTCTCCCGTCAGGTTTTGTGGAGAGTGAGCCAGTGGTTGAAGACTTCCCCGCCCCAGTCTGTAAAGTTGTCTATCACAACGCTCCTGGGTAGAGCAGGGAAGGTCACTCTACCCCCCTCCCCACAACAGAACCAGCTACAGGAGCTACTGGCCTCCCTGTTTTCTACTCTGCTGCAGGATAACAGTTGGGTGGTGCATCACCATGCACTGGAGGCCTTCTCTACATTTGCAGAGGTAATGCAAAAGTTTACGGTGATGACTTGCTGTGATAAACCTTCAAATTGGCTTTCTTTCACAGTAGGAGGGTAAAGGAGGTTTTTGCAGTGTTTGAAGTATGCCATTGAACAATTCTTTACTACATTTATTTAAAACTATAAAACACATTTTTGCAGTGGTATGATTTTGCAAAAAGAGAACACTGTGAAATTAGTGAAAACAGGTGGTTGTCAATAAAAAACTTTGTAGTACTCTTACTATAGATGTATGTGTAGTTTGAATCTTTTAAAAAACAGTGTATTCTACCCTCACAACATACATCTGCATGGATGTATATATGTGGAAAATGGAAAAAAAAATCAAAATGGTTTGCATTGCAAAGGCTTATTCCTACATTTTCGTGTTGTATTGATCATTTAACCGCATTTGATTTGAGATGATTACTGTCAACGACTAAACTGTGAAAATTTGTATCTTATTTCAGGAGACCCCCTATGAATCCATCCTGCCAAAGTGCCTTCAGAACGAACAAGTCAAGAGCAGGGCGATGGACTTCATCAAAGGGGTGCCCTTCAGCAGCAATGATCTCCCCCCTTGGAACTCTGAAACCATCACCCAGCAGCAGAGAAGAATAGAAGCCTTCAAAGAGAAAAGACTTTCTGACATTTCCTCAAGACTGGAAGAAATGCAGTCAGCATCATCTGTGGAGGAGTCACCTGAACAGGTACTACTAGTTATATCATACCCGGGCCGCGATAACGTTCGATAACGGGTTCTGGACCGGGCCATACTTTACGGTACGGCCTGGGCTCCATGGCTTCCATAGAACGATTCGAACGCGTTATCGCCCTAACCGCGTGCGCCGCTTTCGAAAATTCGAATACAGAATCCGAACGTTGGAACTGGTGTTGTTGCATTTGAGGGTTAAGGGGCACCAACTTGTGGCTCATCTTGCATTGAAAGGTGCATTTTCTTGGGTGGGTATGACATAAATAAAATACAACAGGTACTACTAGTTACTGCCGTGACAGAAGTATTTCTTTGGGTGGTGCTGGTGTAGTAGATAGAGTTTGTATGTATCTTGTTCTGAGCGGCAAGGATTGGAAGTGGGTAGGTGGAGATTGGGTTTCAGTTGATTGACATGGTTGTGACCTGTTGTAGTCCTGGTTGATAGGATGAAGTAAGAGGTTGCCAGGAATGTTTACTGTGTAATATTGGTATGATACATGAACCATGGTGTAATACTAGAGTAGGTTAGTCATACAATCGTATGAATTCTATGATTTAAAAAATTGATATAATTCAATCGGGTATTTCACCATGATCATACAATACAGTTCAAATTCATTCACAAAAAAACGAATCACTTTCTACAAAACATGTCATGTAATTAAACCACCATGAAATTAAATGCATTTATAGATTTCTTGTCAGCTGTCACCTACATTGTACATTTACCCTTCAAGCCTTTGTATTTTTTTCAGCCTTCGGCAAAACGAATCAAGCAAGACACTGATTCACCAACCTCAACCAAAGATGACTCTACAGATCTAAAAGAAGAAGACTTAAGAACGATCACAAACAGATTGAATAAGGACATTGCAAAACTGGAGGAGTTTTCTGTATGTGAATCCAAACCAGACTGGTACAAGGAGGAGTTGAAATCACTGCACCAAAGACTTGGGCTATTATTCGAAGGTTCCTAACATCAGACATCTGAGCAATGCATTTCACACAATACGTGAAGAACCTATATATCATGTATATTGTGACAAGCTAAGTTGGTTCTAAATCTTTCTCTACGTTTTAAAGTTACTGGTTGTCAAGATAGTGGACCAAACACACGGATTTGCTAAATTTTTTGATCAGATTGCTAAGATGTACATTTGTACTAGTATATACAGGGCATGAAAAATAGTTTTCTCAACAAAAATCCATATACACTTATGTCCGTGTATCCAGTATATGGACCACTGTGGGCTACATGTAGAAATACATCAGAAATACCTGCACAGCCCCCATTTTACCTGAAATAACCTGCATATACCCAGTACATGGACCAGTGCAGGTTAGGTGCAGGTAGACATCAGAAATACCTGCACAGCTCCAATTTTACCTGTACTGACCTGCATATACCCAGTACATGGACCAGTGCAGGTTAGGTGCAGGTAGACATCAGAAATACCTGCACAGCCCCCATTTTACCTGAAATAACCTGCATATGCAGGCAGTATTTCAAGCCCTGCACAATAGATCTTCACACTATGAATTAGAAAATGGAATTTTCACTTCGAAGTATAATTTTATGCAAATATCTTCAGAAACTGTACAAATAAGTCATGTTTTCGTGAGTCCAAACAACACCATTCTCATAGTGATAATACTTTTAGAGATACCATGATTTGTAATGGTTTATGAAATGTCTGCAATTCTTGAATTGGAGAAAAGTATTCAATGAAAGTATATATTTTACAGTATCACAGAAATAAAGGAAAATGTTTCAATTGGTTGATTGCTCCGAGTTTCGTGGAAATCGTGTCTCATACATGTACAATCTATGTAGCTCATCATGCTCACATAAACTCAATTTGAAAGCTTTTCCGAAAGCGTGAGGTCTTCTAATAGGGAATTTTTAGGGGGTGGGTTTCAATTCTTTTTTTTATTAAATTTTACTCCCAATAGAGGGATGGTAGCCTGACTAAATTACCCTTGACCAGTGTACGAACGTACCATTATGTACTGTTACATGGACTGGCGCAGGTTAGGAGTAGGTAGACATTAACACATTTTACTTGCATTTTTAAGCCCATTATCCTAGACATGCAGATGGTATTCTGAACCCTGCCTGTCTCAGACCATCCTTGTCTGGTCCAGGGACACCCCATCTACCAATCATGAGAGAGGTCAGAGGTCACCACACAATATGGCCGCTCCTGATAGAGCTCCAGTTCTGGGAATGTGAATCACTTGCCATCCTCAGTAGGGAGATCATCTGGAGGGCCATTACCGCGCGACACGGATGCTACAGATAGGTTTATAGTCTACCCTATGTTCATTTTTGGTTTTTTCTTGACTGTTGACTGAATAGTCAGCCAGATACTACCGTACAACTGCACCGCCCCCCTCCCACCTGTACCGCTTGAGGATGATGTGGTACTTAATGACTTGTTTCTTTTCAAGTTTCTGCACTTTTCATTTTCTTTTTGCGGTACTCGAGGGCATGGCTACGTCTGCTGACTGTCCTAATCTCTCACTGGAAAAGAAAGGCCTACATGTGGCCCACGCGAACATTCGTAGCCTGAGGAACAAAGTTGTAGAAGTCGAAAACCTACTGAGCAACAGCAATGTCCACATCTTTGCTGTCAGCGAAACACACCTCGACGACACTGTACAAGACAACGAGTTGGTAGTCCCCAACTACGTCGTACACAGACGAGACAGGAATGGCCGTGGGGGTGGAGGTGTCGCCATTTACATTCGGAGTCACATTCCCCACAAGGTACGGACTGATCTCTGCATGGACGACATCGAAATGCTGTGGATACAAGTAAGCTTGCCTTTTTCAAAGCCAATGTTAGTCTCTGTCGCCTACAGGCCACCGAACAGCAACCGTTCTTACTTTGACTCATTACTTTTGTGCATAGAAAGAGGTTGCACACAGGGCATGGAGGCATGTGTGTTGGGCGACTTTAACGTGGACTGGCTCGTTCCATCTTCCATGAAAGAGGACCTTAACAACATGGCCACAGCATGTAACCTTACACAAGTTGTTGAGCAGTCAACCCGTAAGAGCTGGAATAGTGCAGGTTACAATACATCCACGTGTATTGATCTGGCGTTTGTCACCTCTAGGGACAACTACGGCAAGGCAGGAGTGTTTGCATGGGGCTGTACTGACCACGACATCATAACGATCACCAAGCGTACCAAGATACCTAAACGAGCTCCAACATCAGAATTCAAAAGGAGCTATAAAGCATTTGTTGCCGTCGACTTCATGCGGGATATCGCAAGGCTACCATGGGATCTTGTGCAATTATTCGACAATGTGGAGGACGCTGTCGATGTATTTATGCTCCTTTTTAACTCTGTTGCGGATACACATGCACCGGTTCGACGATTCACGGTACGCGCTAACCCTGCCCCATGGCTCGACACAGAACTGAGGGAAGCCATGGCTATGCGTGATGACGCGAAGTCTGCCGCGGACCTGTATGGGCTACATTCGGACATTGCAGTGTATAAGAAACTCCGGAACTACGTCGTCAAGCTGAATCGAAAGAAGAAGGAACATTACTTTAAGACTAAAATGACTGAGAACTCTAAGGATCCTAAGCATGTCTGGAAGCTAACTAACTTATTGTTAGGTAGAACGAAGGGCTCTGGTCCTGCATGTGTAGAACTGAATGGCCAGTACATTGTCAAACCACAGGAAATCGCTAATTACTTTAGTGACTACTACACAAGTAAGATTGACGCACATAGGGATAATGTTCAGTCTAATAATACACCTGGTACAGTCACTGATCTTATTGACCAAAACATCATGGTCGACAAGTCGTGTTCTTTTCAGTTTAATACTGTTAGCATGGATGATGTTCTTGGATTATTACTTGATATACCTATGTCTACAACATGTGGGATTGACCAGCTAGAAAACAAATTAGTCAGATTGGCTGCACCTTACATTGTTGCACCTGTGAGATATATCTGTAACCTGTCACTGACGGGATGCCATTTCCCAGCTCAGTGGAAGATGGCTAAGGTCTGCCCTTTACCTAAAAACACCAGACTTCCTTTGACAGGGAGCAATAGCAGACCCATTAGCTTACTTCCAACTTTGAGCAAAGTATTGGAAAAGATAGTGCATAATCAAATCTGGCACTACCTTTCTTTGAACAACATCATTACACCCCACCAACATGCCTATCGCCCAAATCATTCTACAACCACTGCCCTACTAAGAATGACTGATGATTGGCTCAATGCTTTTGACAGGGGCGAGTTGGTGGGTGCAGTGTTTGTGGATTTTAGTGCCGCATTTGACCTCGTTGACCATGATATTTTGTTGGCCAAGCTTAAATCATATGGCTTTTTTTCAAACGCTATGTCATGGATGACGAGTTATCTCAAGACTTGATCACAGGTTGTTTATATCAATGGTCATTTCTCTGAACCCTCTGTACTTCAGTGTGGTGTCCCTCAGGGAAGTTGTTTAGGCCCGCTTATTTTTACACTGTTTACGAATGACCTACCTTTGTCTGTGTTAAGCAGTACACCTGAAATGTACGCAGACGATACATCTATCTACAAAGCCGGTAAGACTATAAGTGACATCACTGTTGGTTTGCATTCCGACCTTGTAAGTTTATCAGACTGGGTTTGCATGAATAAACTTGTGTTAAATATTCTTAAAACCAAATGCATGCTTTTCGGAACCCCACGTAGGCTTGCTAATATACCTGACAATTCACTAGATCTTGTTATCGGTGATGAGAAGGTTCAGGAAGTGAGGGAGACAGTTTTGCTTGGGCTACATATGGATCGGTCGCTCACCTGGAATTTACAGGTCACTCACATTGCCTCAAAACAATCTAGAAACATCGCCTTATTGAGAAGACACATGTGGGCGATGCCTTTTGCAGTTTGTAAGGTTGTTGTTTGTGCACTGGTTTTGTCAGTGGTACAGTATTGCGCACCAGTTTTAGCTAGCATGTCAGTCTCTAACATGCGCAAACTGCAAGTAGTTCAGAATAGGGCTTGTAGATTATTATTGAAATGTGCTCCTGATACACCTACCAGGCAGATGCATATTGATCTTGGTTGGCTGACTGTGAGTGAGAGATTCTCCTCTAGCACACTGGTTATGTTCTTTAAGATTGTCACTAGTCATGAACCACAGTATATATACAACTCCCTTGTGCCTGTTCATGTATCTCACATTCACAATACCAGATCTGCTGCACAGTACAACTTTAGATTACCCAAACCTAAGACGAACAGTAAGAAACGCTCATTCCTGTATCGTGCTATATCGTTGTGGAACGACCTACCTTATCATGTCAAGACACTGAGTAACCTTCTCAAGTTTAAGAAAGCCATAGTAAACAGTGTCACATGAAGCCGACCTCTAGTTTTTAAATTGTTAATATTCATTTATGCGTTCCTTTAAATGTTTGATGTTTGATGTATTTTTGTCTTTTTAAACGTTTGCACTGTATCTTATGCACTATTTCCTATGTATATAATTATGTAACGATGTGCCTGTATTCCATGTATTTGAGCCTTGGAAGACTAGCCCTGCAGGGCTAAAAGGTTTCGAAATAAATGAAATAAATGAAATGAAAACTGCTGGAAGACAACTTCAAGGAGGATATGGACCTCCACTGCTAATGGCCTGTAAGTTCAACTGTCTTCCGAGAGGAAAAAGTCTCATTGGGTCAGTCTATTGAGAAGAAGACCAACGTGACTGGTCAAAAGCTCTAGGTGAGAACTTTTCTTTGTGTTGGTTCAAAAGTTTTAACTTGTAACTACTAAGTTGAACACAGATTAACTTTCATGATAACATTTATTAATCCTCTGTGTTTCTTGCATGTCCCACATCACTTTTTGTCACTTCTGGATTTTGGTGGGTGTACATGTATGTACTGTGTATGGTTACATTGTATGCTGTCCAAGAACAACAAACATTCATAATACACTTCAGTCATTTGTGATTCAACACATTTGATTTACCGTTTCTTCCAGTTTCTTCCAGAATTTGATTCTAGTTCAGTGCCAGAATGTCAGGTATTTGCCATGGACTAACCTGTTTTAAAGCCTTACATGTATTATACATGTACGTATCTCTTCGAGTTCTTCGACTCTTTAATTTACATCCTACAACATACACAAGTTGGAATGTATATTACTTTGAATCATGTAAAAATTCCATCTTAAATGCTAAAACTGTAAAATTGTCTTTGGTAATGGATGTAAGAAGTATCCTTTTAAAGGACTATATAATAATTTCATCTGTATTTCATACAGTTGTCATGTAACCTTGTATTGCAGGTTTACATTTAACAATACATTCTCTTATCTTTGAAAATACTCCATTAATTTGTATCATGATAATAAAATGTATACAACATATTTACACCCATACAATGGATAAAAAGTATTCATTTTTCTTTATAGGCCTTCTCAGACTTAAAAGTGATATACGCTACTTGTTGAATAATGGGATAGAAACACTTCATCAGTCTGATTAAATCAATTACTCCCATAGATAGACACTCTGGTTGGGTTCATGCATCAGGTGACTGTGAGGGCTCGCTTCAGTTCATTCTCCTATTCAGGGACCTTCTTGTCCGTTGTCTTTCGGTTCCATCTCCAACTTAGCCTGGCAAAGAATCAATGAGTACATTATATTACCCACCTGTCCTGCTCTTCAGTACTTTACTTAGTATACAATGTACATATACAAATTGTATTGAATAAGTATTGCAACTTTTTAAACACTACCAAAATGAAATGTAGTGTCAGCATAATCAATTGATTCATACAAACCAGCAGAGCATCCATCTTATCGTGTAGCTTTTTGTTTTCCTGCTCTGCTTTCATCCTGTCCTGCTCTGCCTTCATCCTGTCCCGCTCTGCTTTCTTCCTCAGTTCCCTCTCTCTCTCGATCTCAGCCTGATCAAGAGGTTGCAAGTGAAGAAGTGAAAACTTGTCATAATTTATGATTACTTCTAATAAACAGATAACAATATTTGGATTTGCAGAATTTTGAGAACTTTTCAAGTGTTACCAACTGACTCATCTGATGGGCCTTTTGTCCTAGTGATTATGGTGTTGGGGTCACAAGCTAGTGGCCCAGGTTCAATTCCAATTTATTGTAATACAATGTATTATGTACCAATATATAGATCATTGTTCATTAGTATGTGATTGGATATGCTAACATTGCACACATGCATATATACAAGGCTGTAAGTATATTCTGAAGTGCAGCAATTTATGACAATGATAACAAAACAATCATGTAGTTTGTAAAACTTTTAAAAAGTAAAAAAAAAACTCTGTCCCGATATCTGTACAAGCATATACAGCCCTATAAATAGTTAGAAAATCAGTCTAACCAACCTTATAAGCTTCCAGTTGTGCCTTCTGATTTGCATCTGCATGTCAAAAAATATGTTTTTTTAATTAATAGAATCTGATATAAATGAGTGTACATGCTTGACTTGCATTGGTTTGATCCAGAATATCACTATCAAATTGATCACAAATGGTCCAACCTCTACCTAGACACAATGTGCATGTACAATGTATACTGTACATGCACTATGCAGTTTTCATTTAGCATTAATTGATGTACGAATGAATGTACAAATGTATGCAATAGCATTTTGATTTACATGATGTAAGCAATACGGATTCAGTTTATGCAAACTCAATGTAAGATTTGATGCATGGATCCTTCAGCACTTAATCATAGACAAGCCACTTCTTTGCTTTCCAAAGCAACCACCTCTATAAGCCGTCCATCTTGTCACAACGCATTAACTTAAGCAATTTGAGTCAGGTTTCGAGGTGGCCGTGGATCAAAGATGATACCCGGGTCATCTGTTAGGTCATTTAGACAGTCTATCACACACGTATGTACTTGTAGGACATGAACTCTAAAATCTGTATCTCTGTCTATCATTATGTGCTTTGTGTAAGAAGATGACTTGCATGTCAAAGAAGACCAGATTCTATAGCTCCCCTGGGTGACAAATTTGACTTTATTCATCTTTTTCAGAACATTTCATGATAGTACTAGATTTGCCCAGATCCCCAAGAAAAAAAGTGTTGTGGTTAATACCTGACTGATAAGACTGATAAGCTTCATCCTCGGATGAATCTGGACTGTCAGAGGGCTGCCGCAAACCTAGGGAAAAATAAAAATGCTTACCTTACTTTACTTTACCACCTTGAAGTAAGATGCAACAATGCATGACAATGTGGTAGCCAGGCAGCAACAAGCTTTAAAGCTGGTGGCGGCTAGCACTGATTATGACTTGTACAACATATAATATTATACAAACTATTATAACATACAAGACGGGAAGGTGCACAATAAAATATCAATATTATACAGAAGCAATACAATACACAAAATAAGAAAAAATAGAAATGAGACGTTGGAAGCTCTGTTGGATGTTCTGTTTTTTAACGGATGAAATTTCTAATGGTGGCAGACCCTGTGCTTTACTTTTATAACTTCAAGCCTTGTACTTGTAGGTGCTGATTTAGGCCTGGATTTTCCAAAGACAATTTACTAACTAGGAAGAGGACAAAAGACAGTGCCTGATATAAACCTTTAAATTTGAGATTGCTTAATTAAAGATGCTCACACATGTATAGAAAACATGTCTTTCAAAAGAGTGTAGTGTGCAGAATATTTGCTAAAAGATGTTGAAGGGGTCCTACCTTTGAGCTCCTCTGAGATTATCCCTAGGTCCTGCAGAAGTGTCTCAATGGTATCCATCATTGGTGACTTGGAGTTTGCACGTAGAGATTCATCCTGCCTCTTAAGTAGTTTTTCCAGCTTTTTAAGCGTCTTCTTGTTCTAGAAAGTTAAAGGAATTGATATATATTTTATTTTGTTATACATGTACATGTACCCAATATTGTAAGGCTTATTTGTGACAAGAAGTGGGAAATATTCTTCCTGTGTGACAGAAAATAATAATGCTGCCAATTATTAGAACTTCAAGGCAATGTAAAATGCATGCATGGCTTTATTTAAGTAGCGACCATGCCAAGTCAAACCTGCCATTAGGAGACCACCTCTCCAAGCCGGCCACCTGGCCATGGTGACAGCTTTTTCTTGGTCCCAAAAGTTTTCCCCATTGACACAAGCATTAAGCAACCTGTCCAAGGCGACCACCTGGCCAACGCAACCGTCACCGCCCTGAGTTGGGTCTGCTCAAGGCCTGATACCTGCCCATGGTGACCACATCATTTTCAATCATGTTGAGTATTGATGATAACTAATCAGAAATCATGGAGATTCCACCAGCCAGTTTGCCTTGACTGCTGGATGATGTTTTTGTTTGACGTAGAAGTTGTTCCATGTGCCACCCTCAGCTCCTCACATGCATTCACTACAGAACTGAAGATGTTTACAGCATTTGACATTAATACATCTCGACTTAGAAACCATTTATGTCTCAGTCATGTTGTGAGGCGACCCTCTTCAAGGAGACCACCTGTCCAAGGTGACCACTTTTCTTTGGTCCCCTGGGTGGCCGGCTTGGACAGGTTTGACTGTATTAACATTTCAGTGCCAAAATACAACATTTCACATTGCTATGTAGGACATGAATGATACACGTCATTCAAGAATATCATGTTAAAAAATTATGGTATTTGAATTGCAAAAAAAAAAAAACAGTTCCACTTACAAACATGCAACGGTCTTCATCTGAAGCTTTCCACGGTTCTGGACTAAACGTTGTGTTATTCCACAGCATGTTGTTCAGAAGCTTGATCGCATTTTCTACATCCCGTAGATAGCCAAGCGATCTAGGACAGCTTGGATTCCTGGCCCCTGTAGTGTCGATTATGATGGCTCTTGGGCCAACAATCATAACATTCAGCCCTGTAATGGTGAAAAGTGTTAGCAATCAGGCAGTGGATGTAAACAAACATTGATAACTTTGATGCAAAGCAACATTTAAAACTTAAATGAGCAAGGAATTGGCTATCATCATCATCATCATCAATAAACAATTAAAGTAGCAAAAACCTTCTGACGTTTTAAAAACTGAATTATTCCACAATGATTTAATTTCATGGATTCCATCCGTTTGCACATTGATTTTTACCTGTTCTAAAAAAAATCACCTGTGAGGCGCAAGCCTGGTAGCTCAAGTGACAATAGGGAGCTAGTGGTAACAATGGAGGGTGTAAGATTCAGTACGGTGCAGATTCATAAATGCTGCCAAAGGCTATTATGTGCCAGCTTGTTGTAAAAGTAGTTATGTACTACAGTAACTGCAACTTTACAATACCATTTACATTATTCACAATCATATACTTTCCATGTGCTATCAGTACAATTCTGTTAAGATCATTATGACATTGGTAAAAATACTTTTTTCAGTGTTCTGCAATATTGCAGAATGTCAAAATTTTGTTCTGCAAATACACACTTACATGTTGTAAAAGTCCAGAGCTATTAAAACCCATAGCATATGCAAAATTGCATATTTTACAAAGCAAAATTTAGTAAAATTCTAATGTATATTATAGAGCCCGACGAGTATGGGTAACTGTAAAAACCGGGGCCCCGTCAAGACCCGTTTGCGGAGTGATCTGACAATATGCAACAAAATGAGGTGTAGACGTTTTCCGACAGAGAGCAGACTGAGGTTTTTCGGGTAACGCGGGGCCCCGGTTTTTACAGTTACCCAGTCAGTATCAAACACACAAGTTCTTAAACACCATTGATCCCCTCGACTGGATTTTTTTTCAGTCTGCAAAATCGCAGGTTGCTTAATTTTTCTTCTACAACATTGAAAATGTTAGATGCAAAATGCAGGCTGCAGATCTAGATGGGTATTTCTAACACTTGATGATGTACATACCAATTATGTCTGAGTGGATTAGTCCTTTGCTGTGGATATACTCCAGGCCTTTCAGGATGTCAATTGTGTAGTCCACGGCAAAGCGTATATCCATTTTAAAATTTTCGTCTCCAAGGAGGTCAGCCAGAGTCTTTCCTGTCAAAGCAATATTGCATCATTTCATACAGAAGAGCATAATATCCTATCCTCTGTATTCGACAGCCTTTTGAAATTAATTGGTACGCACATTTTTTTAGATATCAGGCCACACCAATTTTATTTTTTGGTTCTCAGATTTTTTGTAGAAAAATTGATTGACTGAGTGTGAAAAATAAAGAAAAATAAAAACACTGCCCCATCGTATGATAGCCTCAAGTGCTTAGGAGCCATAAAGTCAACATACCAGTCAACATGTTTTTAGGTTGTTGTGTATAATCGTTTGCGAGTATCTGTTTGGATTGTGACTTGATTGTGACTGGTTTGCAAAGAAATGAAATTACGAGTTAGGATAGCAAATACTGCTATCTATATTCCCTTTAACGTATCTAATACAAAAGGTTAAATAAAGGTCTAAAAAGTTGTGTGTGTGTGTGTGTGTGTGTGTAAACTTGTCTTCAAAAATATGTGTAATCATGGTAGTGTCACTTAAGTAACAAAGACATAAGTAACAAAGACAGCCCTACCGTCTTACCGTTCCTGTTATACCACTAAATAAGGAATACTTATCATAAGCAAATAATCTGAAACAGTTGGCCAACAGTAAACAGTTGTGTAATGGCCAACAGTTGCGCGACTGGCCAAGCCAAAAAGCAGTCAGCAATATTAGCGCAGTCCGTATAATCAGTACCAGTTGACCATCAATGAACACGTTTGGGCGGGTGGCCACCGCAGGAGCGCGATTTATTTTTAGTCAGGATTAGTAGATCTTATATGTATTTGACCACTGGGATTTAGCCATTTTTATGCTAAGTTGTTACCAGTTCTCAATCTGCAAAATATAAAACTTCACAGAGAATGTCGCTTATGGACACTTGTTGAGGCTACAATGATGTATTTGGCAGCCTTTCAGTTAAATGCTGAACTTTGACCTCAAAACTTTGTCTGCATGCAGGAGCATTACCAGTAGCATGTAAATTATTGGCAGTCTTCCTGAGTGTGGCATAAAAGCAAATGATATTTGCATGCTTGTATCCAATGAGTGTGCTTCTCACCATAACATACAGTAACACAGACTGCTTGCACTTTTATCATTTTTCACATGGGGCACCACAACACGCAGAAATGACCAGGCTGCTCCCCCCCACCCACCCCAGAATCAGACGGGACTTTGTTTTCCACTAACCCGTGGCATTTACCTTCTAGCAGCTCCATCAGAAAGTACACACAACAGTCAACTTCATCCAAGATGACTCCATATGCCCTGCACGTCTGCTCACAGCCAGCCAATTTCAGGAAGGCTGCAAAAGGATCGCTTCCACTCAGCATCTGAAAAATAGCTGCTGTCAATGTGCATCCTTGACACAGAATAGATAGAATATGCAAATTTAGTGACTTTTTACTAATTGACAAATTGTTACTCTGTGAAGGAGGTCATGACCTCCGGACGGAGTATTGTGAGTACATGTGTAGCTGTTTTTTTTGTGTTTGCAGTTAGAACACATGGTTCTCGTTGTGTAATCGGCATGCACGAATGTGTATTTTTGCCGTTGCTGTTTTCGCGGTCAATGTAATATTTCAGATACAATGCCAAAATGCATTGTTCTGTACGTAGCATTTCTTAGGTTGTCGTGTTGTTGATTTTATGTAGCCTGTGTTTACACTAGTCAGTCTGCAACTGTTTCCCCAAGGGGGCAGCAAACCTCTGGGCAGGTGGCCACTACAAATGTAGGAGTGCGATTTTTTAGTCAGGCTAGATTATTAGACCAGGGATTTAGCCATTTTTACGATACGTTGTTACCAGTTGTTAAGTGATCACACACTGTTTACATACACTATTACTGTTCTCAATCTGCCAAATATAAAACTACACAGAGAATTGTTGCCTATGGACACTTGTTGAAATTGAGGTACACTCAGACTTGTACACTTTGTATTAGATTGAACATGGTACATGTATGAAGCAACATGAGTAAATTTTTTGAAAATGCTGAAGCAATATGTATTGAAATAGATGTACACTTCATGACAACACTTAAGCACCATAAGATATACATGTAGCTTACATATATTTCTGAAGAAAGCGACTAAACTATCAGTAGAAAGGAAAAAATTTAATGTGTGCGTGAATCAAATTTTGTAGAGGGATCTGTATAGTAATCATTATCTTACCTTTTCACTGATCTCCATCTTCTTGACTGCCAACTTATCACCAGTCAGTACATCATTTGCCATTAAAACAGTTGCCTCATTTCCACGTCCTAGTACATCTATCTCATCTTCCGGCAAGATCAGGAAGTTACCACGAAGGCCAAGTTTTACGTGTTTTCGTCTGTAAATGCTGCTGTCTTGGGTCACAGTAGCTGCCAGGAGGACTCCATTCAGGAAAACTTTACCTCTCCTAGGCTCCTAGGATACAATTAGTTACAAGTTAGATGTTTATGTGCATTGTTATCTTTGCCTAGAAGGTTATGTTTCAATTGTCACGATTTTTGGTATGTAGGTATGAACAAATTAACTTTATTGCTCGGCAGTTGTACATTATGTATGGTAAAAATGACAATGTGATCAATACAGTAAGTATACTCTATAAAGAAACTATCACTACAGGAATATGAAATGTAAACGGCATGGGATATGATGTACATAAAGTGTTTCTATCTGTTTCAATACCTCTAATTGGCATAGTCAAAACCTTAATTATGCAAGTCATGAGCTTATTTGCACAATTAATAAAGAAGTTCGAATAAGCTGCATTCCATGAAGGGACCCTCAAACACAGTGTGTGTAACAAGGAGATTAACATCCTGAAGATCTGATTTGTATAATTAACGCAAAAATGCCATGTAGTCACTACTAATTGACAGGATTTGTATAGTTTTTTTACAAGTTTATGAAGTGGCCAAACTGTCCAGGGGCCAAAGTGTTCGATTTTCATTCATTGCTTCATTTGTATGCAAAAATGCAATGCAAGAAAATGCACCCCTCCTTAGTAATACATGTATAAGACTTTTTAAAAAAACTTTGGACAACTTGTGATAACTTGTGATATTTGGGTACAGAAGATCGAGAGCTAATATAATCTATGAGGAAAGTCCTCATTTGCATAATCTATCGGATACTTTCATTAATATGTAATAGGTCAGGCACATACATGTGTAGTATACATTTGTACATACGTGTTCCACACAGACGGAGTCCGGTACGTTGTCCTTGGACTTGGCTATCTTTTTTTTGGAGAAAAGAATTCCATTCTCGATGGGTAGAAGGTAGCAGTCCTCGCCTCCCTCGAACTCCTGAAGCTGATCGGCCAATTTGGAGTAAATTTGGCGTACTTCAAAATCATATCCAGTTGCTTGAGTAACTTGGCGTACTTCGTTTGACTTTCCCTTGCCGCTGTTCCTCATGTGTTCCACACGTTCCCGAGGGACGTCCTGTCCATCGCTGTATAAAGGCCACGTGCGTTCAGTCGCGAATGCTGGAGTGCTGCTGCTTGGTTGAAATTTACTTTCGCTTACAGTAACTTTGTGGCTGTCGATCCCCTTTAACGTTAGTTTCGACACACCTTTGCCTTGCAAACGCCATATTTCCCGGTCGTAAGACTCCTGGAGCACGGCATGGGTACCACCACGGTCTGCTTCTGCCTCTGTAGGCTCAGTGGTCAGTGTTTCTTCGAAATCCCGATGTACATTCTCTTCTGGTGGCAATGATCCCAGACCACTTGTTGAGTCGACTTCTGGATATTTGGTCGCCATTTTGTGTTGGTTGGTAGAATAACAGTCGCTGTTTGTCCGGAATAGTTGTAGTCGTTGTCGGCTTACCGTTCTGGCGCACCAGTTCAAACTTTGTTGACCGTGCAAGATGTTAAATCCCGGATAGTTATAGTATATTCGTTTGGAAACAAAATGCTGGAAATCCCTCAAGTTCTTACAACTCGGCGGTCGGGTTGAGGTGGAGTGTCACCGTTGAAATTCCCGCCAAATTCTGAATCTCGCGCGCGCTCTGGCACTGCTATGCTGACGCAACACTTCCGCTGTCGATGCAAGACCCTAAACTGCCCTTTGGTGTTCCGAAAAACGACAGTGCGCTGTCGTCGCTGTGTTTGCCAGCAGTTCGTCTCAAACAAGACAAGAGTCGGTAGAGAAAGTCGCTACATGTTCCGAAGACAGCCAGTAAGACTAAGGATTGCTTTCACTTTCTTTGAGCTTGCGCGGTAGTCAACAGGAGATGAGTCATGCGGCTGGCCATTGGCCTTCTATTCGCCGCGTTCACATATCCCACAATTCCAAGCGCGACCGGCAACATCCAGTTTCTTTGTACCTGATACTTTTGACTACTCTCCAAGCAGAGGTAGGGTCGCTCGGTATTTTGGCAGTTATTTTCGTCGTTTTTAATACGTCTTTCTACTTTTACGGGTTTT